TTCTTCTGATTAGAATGATCACGCACCTCTGCGTGCTGCAGACCAGGTCGAGCGAACAGAACAGACCTTGAACTCTTAGACAGAAAATCTGTTTGGAAATGCAAACCACGGTTGCTTTTTCTGGGTGCGTGAAAACTTCCCTGTGACCGGATGGGCTATTGATTGAATTTAGATCTCCCAGGTGTTAAATCGTGTTCCCAACAAGTGAGCAGCATACATGCATACAAATAAGGAACAGGCCAGCAGTTTGAGCCACAAGGAAATATTAGTCTTCCCCATGTACCTCTAAGTAAACATTTACCAAGACTGTACTGTGATATTCTACACATTTTGTGTGCGCGTGCTCTGGGTTTTGCTCTCTCTAGCCGTGAAACAATCAAGAGGGTGATCCGAGTGGCTTGGATTTGGAGGTATTTTGTTCAGCGTCGGGGAGCTGAGTCGTGAGAAAGGAAAGAATCTAAGGGAAGGGGGACTAATTCTTCATGAAAGACCTTTGAGACAGAGAAACGCAACCTAGCAAGCCAGCATAAAGAGATTGAGGGCATCAGGAGAGGAAGGGGCTTTCACAGCCTTCCTTTGCTAGCCCCTCGGTCTGCAGATGAAGAAACTGAGGCCTGGAACAAAAGTCACCAGCCTGTAGTCACACACAGCAAAGCAGAGCTAGAGCTAGGGCTAGATCTTAAGTTTCGTGTCTCCTGTAACATGATTTGGGGTCCAGAGGGAGTTTTTTCCTTCTTAAAATGAACAACTCTCATTTTCCTCAGGATTAGAAGCGTGTGGATGCATTTGATATGACCATTTTTCCTGTATTGCTCATCACTAAAACACCCAGAGCTTTAAAAATGCAAGCTCTTAAAACTGCAAGGCTCCCTGGTTTGAAAGAAATGGCCCTGATTCTTAATGAAACGATTAAAGTCATGAATAGGGCTAGGGGAGCGACGTGACAAGTTAAGAGTTAAATGTGGTGAGAACCTGGCAGCTCCAGCAAGATGTATGCGGTAGGAGTGAGGCCCAGTCAGTGGCTGAGAGGTTAGTAATGTAAACTATATACAACTTGGTATTTGTAAGGGGGGAGTGCTGTGATAGAGATGCAAATGCTTCTGCACAGAGAGGGATTTTGAGAGAGCAGACTTTGGAACAGTAGAACTAAGAAAACATATAAAGCCATAGCAGAAATTCCCCCTATGTTTGCTTTCAGTTATTCTGAGAAGGAGTGTATATAACAGCAGAGCACAGAAAAGGCCAACACACCCCAGAGCCGTTACACAGTAAGGCACAAAACAGCATTGAACCCAAGGGAGTGGGAGCAAACAGGAGCCAGGCTCTCCTTCTCTGCTCCCCCCACCCCTGCCTCCCCGCTTCTTTGAAATTGAGGATGAATCATATTCTATCAGAAAGGATTTATCACAGAAATCAGAACTATCTTAAGGTGTTAGCACAGAAGGGCTTTAGATAGGAAAGTTTTCAACTTGAGTCTCAACATGGCAGGTTTTAGGTTCCAGGGAGAAAGCACTTTTTTTCCCCCCCCTTTCATTAACAAGCAGAATTTCTTGAATGGATTTAGCTTTCTAGTCCCTAAATTGACACAAGAAAAGGAATTTCTGTTTAGGTTGAACAGAGCAAATTTCAGGGCGACAGAAAAAAAAAACTGTTGAGAAAGCTATGAGCACCTGGCCAGAGGGACTGAGATGGGAGTGGGTTTACAATGCATCATTCATTACTGCAGAGGCACTACGTGACAGAAATCACTAGATCCCATCACTGTACAGCCAAGACTTTTAATCACCATGGCTCCTGCTTAATACTATGTGATATGTATATTCTGCCTCTCGTTTGCTAGAAAATGCAATTGATCAGCAGCATAGTCAGTTTCTTAACTGTTGCTGCTCACAATGAATGGGCCTTTAGTGGGTGTTTTTCTGAATCCTAAACATGCATGTAGTCGCAGTTTTTCATCTAATCTAGGTACTGCAAACAGGCTCTTGCCTATTCATTTCTCAACACTTTTTTCCCCCTCTTCCCTTCCCCTACAGTATCTATTTCAGTTCATCCTGTTAGCTCAGATCGGATTCAGCACGTCCAGAATGGCAAACAATTTATTGTCATCCAATCCTGTTTTATCCTACTCAACACCCTGAATTTACCCAGGTCCTACTGCCCACCGTATTGCAGATCTTCCATGGTCCATTCTAAAAAAAAAAAAAAAAAAGAAAAAAGAAAAAAAAAAGGTTTTACAGGGCAAGAAGAAACCTTTTAAATGTATTCTGCCAATCCCCTTACCTATAATCAAAAAATAGTACCTCATCATCCCAGATTGATACCCAAAGCTTCCTCTAATCATTGAACCAATCGTCTCAACTCCTCAATCTTGCAGCAAACGAATCAATATTCAAAGACACGTTTTCAACTTAAACACCACATGCCCTTCGTCTTCCCAGACAGGATCCCTTTGGACATGGTTCTGAGTCATTTCTATTATGACCTATATCCCCCAACCTTAGCTTTCAACCTTCTGATCATATCCCTGAGATACCTGGTGACAACCCTGGAATCCCATATGATCATTTTCTGTAGCTTTGAGACCGTGTGTGCCTTCCTTTGAGTCACTGATTCTTGGAATTTTCAGTGTGGTTTGAATCCGGTTTCCTTTGGGCAGCTAACGAGTCTAATGAATCCAGGGTGTATGTTGTTCTTACAGTGGAAAGGACTTGAAGGGCCTCATGCCTTCTTTGTGTGATCAATGGTGAACAAATCTATTTCTTATAAGTTTGTCAAGAGATTCTTCCCAATCCATAGCTCCTACATCCACATACCCTGCAAGTCATCTGAACAATATGTCCTTGTTATTTGAGTGTGCCAGTGAAAACTACCTGTTCTTTTCTAATGCTGAGATTATGAATTTTAATAAAGATACAACAAAGGTTGAGGTGCGAGGCTTCAGGAGGCTGTGTGTTCAAGTGAATAAAATAGAATTTTGCCTTTGAATATCCAAATATGTAAGCAAGGCCATGTTGCTTAGTTTTCCCTCAAGGATTGAACATGCAGAAGGTGTAGACAAAGATAAGTCTTGTCAAATGATGTAGTTATATAATCATAAACAATAATGGGGCACAGTCTTTCAGAATCACCTAGTCCATCCCTACAATTATATAGATAGTGAAACTGTGGTCCAAGCAAAGCAAGTGATTTGATGAAAGTTATACAGATATTTGTCTTAGGCTCTCCATAGTGTTTATCTGCGTTCTCCGTGTTGCATTAAATAACACTGAAACAACTCACACTGGTTCTGTGATGTTACGTGCCAGCAAAGTTATTTTTAACCAAATTAAATCTTCTTTTCAAAAAATGAACAGATGTAAATGCAACTAAACAGGTTTGCATGGGGATATAGCCTCCCAAGGCAATGAGGCTGGTCATATTATTAGCCCTGTGTCCTTTATGAACTGCATCCTTATTTTTCCTGTTATTGAACTTCGGGCATATTTTAGTATCATGTTTGCTTGCTTATGGAAGCTTAATCAAGCACTATGTTCTTTCACTTGTTCATTCTATTACTCATTCAAGCTTTCCATCCCATACAGTAGTGTGAGTAATCAATCTATTTTGAGATGCCTGAAATCTGATGGATTTCAAATATGTACTTTGTTCATGATGTTGTTTCCTAGGTCCTAATGCCTCCAGGGTGACTCTTAGGTTTGCATTTAGGTTTCTTTGTGTATACCTTTTTGGCGGTTCAGTCTTCTGGTGCAATACAGTAAACTGCTATGGGTACCGTGTTTTCCTCATAGGCACCATGAACAATACTAGGCTTAGTCAAATCCTTCAGGGAATAGCCACCAACCATCCTGGATTGCAGTAAAATGGAGATACAGCACATGCTTTCTTAGCTTAAATCTGATATAAGAACATTGCTGCTCTTTAAGAAAGCTAGTTTATTGTATTGTGTAAGGTAAGGATAGAGAAAAGTACTCCAAGTAGATTCTGCCAAGTAAATGCCATCAATAAAACTTGATTTAGGGTAGTAATAAGTATAATCATGGGTAATATTTAAAATAATTCAGGGCTCATCTTGTATGGTTTTCAGCCCCAGTATTACATATATATATATATATATATATATATATATATATATATATATTTGTGTGTATGTATATAGATAGAAATAGATGTAGGTATAGATATAGATACATAAATAAACCGATTGTGTAGCCACACTGCCATTTAGAAAGAATTGCCTCCTCAATAAGTTAAATCAGCCTATAAGATGAGGAGAGCTGTAGGATGATTAGTCTTGGCATCCTTTCCCTCTGGGAAGCCATTTTTCCTATTATTCTGCAGATAGCCTAATATCTGCCCTCCGCATCTCTGCCATTATTGCATCTTGCTTGCTTGCCTTTATGCATTGAATCAAACAATGCCATTTCTCACTTGTTTATTTATGCTTCTCACAAATTTCAATGGAAGGAGAATTTATACATGAAAATTCACAGAAGACTTTTGAGGCTTTCTCTTTGACATCGGCATTGCCTCGGGGAGTGGCCTTTATGCTTGGAATCAGGGTCCATTTTTATTAGAATTTTGATGCTTAAGGCCTGGATTTCTCTGTTAGCAAGCATCTGAATGAGCTAGCTGCTCCTGTGACCCTTGTCATATGATGGAATACAAAAGAAATCAATGATCCGATCTTTGCTCCCAAAGTGTTTTATTGTCTGAATGGGAAGATCAGACTTGCCTGTAAAGAGGTAGGTGAGGTCATTGCAGAATAAATATGTAACATGAAATCTACTGTAAAGTGATCCAAGGTAGTGGTGGTGACAGGGCCTGAGCTTTATAGGTTCCCTGCAAAGTACTCACGCCTGTGTGTTCTCATTAATTGTTTCTATTTCTTCTCTCCTAGGATTCTCTGATGTTCCCTAAGGTCTATGTAAATACAAGGGCTCTTTATCACCATAAGTGCCATCCTGACCCAAAGCCACTCAGAACTCAAGAATCAAGACAAAATGGATGCTGCAGTGACAGATGACTTCCAACAGATCCTGCCTATCGAACAGCTGCGCTCTACTCATGCTAGCAATGATTATGTGGACCGGCCTCCAGCCCCCTGTAAACAGGCCCTCTCCAGCCCTTCCCTCATTGTGCAAACCCACAAATCTGATTGGTCCTTGGCTACCATGCCTACTGCTCTCCCCCGCAGTCTCAGCCAGTGCCATCAATTGCAGCCCTTGCCTCAGCATCTGAGCCAATCTAGCATTGCCAGCTCAATGTCCCATAGCACCACTGCCTCTGATCAAAGGCTCCTGGCCAGCATTACACCCTCACCTTCCGGCCAGTCCATCATCCGAACCCAGCCTGGAACGGGGGCCCACCCGAAGGTTGACGGTGCTCTGAAGGGAGAAGATGAGCAATCCGCAATGCATCCCAATGAGCACCTCTTCATCTGTGAGGAGTGTGGGCGCTGCAAGTGTGTCCTCTGCACAGCATCGCGCCCTCTCCCCTCCTGCTGGCTGTGCAACCAGCGTTGCCTTTGCTCTGCCGAGAGCCTCCTCGATTATGGCACTTGTCTCTGCTGTGTTAAGGGCCTCTTCTACCACTGCTCCACTGATGATGAAGACAACTGCGCTGATGAGCCCTGCTCCTGCGGGCCTAGCTCCTGCTTTGTCCGCTGGGCAGCCATGAGCCTCATCTCCCTCTTCTTACCCTGCCTGTGCTGCTACCTGCCTACCCGTGGATGCCTCCATCTCTGCCAGCAGGGCTACGATAGCCTCCGGCGACCAGGCTGCCGCTGTAAGAGGCACACCAACACTGTGTGCAGGAAGATCTCCTCTGGTAGCGCGCCCTTCCCCAAGGCCCAGGAGAAGTCTGTATGACCTCCTCACCAAATGGATCCAGAGCTTTCTCCTTCCAGCCCCCATCAGTAATGCAACCGCCTCATCTTCGAAGAGGGGAAGGAGGAGCAAAGTAGCCAAAGCTAGGGCCTCACCAATTTTTGTTCCTGCAGTGTCAGAGGAATGGCCAAGCGCATCCGAGCGCAGGATGCCTTGTTCTTTCTCACAGTATCTAACCCCACTCCTCCCCAACCTTTTCCCACCCCACCCCACCCCACCCCACCCCACCCCACCATCTCAGCCCTTAAGGCTGTCATGACAAATTCAGGTGATATATCGGATTGAGATTGAACACTGAGGACTGGCAGAGCCAGCAACGTGGAGGTTTAGGGGCTCCCTAATGCAAAGCCTCTCGATGCAGGCTCTGAGCGTCACTCTTCTTTCCACTGTGCCTTTGAAAACTTTCTTCTAGAAGGTTTTCACAGGCCCATGTGGAACAACATTCACTATTCCAGGGACCTTACCCTTTCTCCCTGTTGAATGCCCTTCTCTTCTTGAGTCTTCTTTCTCTCCTTTCTCCTCTTCTTTCATCACTCTGTTCCGGACTCCTTCCCCCTTCATTCTCACCCACTCTGCTTTCCCTCTTTTTCATGCCGTCTCTGTCCCGAGTTTTACTCCTCCCTCCCCGCTCTCTCAGTATAATCCTTTCTCTGCTTGTATTTCTGTCTTGTGTGATAATGTCTTTGCTCTCTCTACCTGTCCCTCTTTCTCTAATACATCCCAAAGTGCTGTTTTTTCCGTAGGGTGTTTCCTTTGACGCCAAACTTTGCTATGCTATACTATTTACTAATTTTCATTAAGGGAAATGGATTACTGTAATGGACTGATCACTAGCAATAGTCTATATCCTGACGTGTGTGTGCACTTATAACCACACTTAACCGGTTTGTGAGCATATAAAGCAAAAGTATCTTACATTTCCAGGTTTAATTGGTTGGAGTTTTACTCCCTTTCCCAATAATGAACTTATAGTACTGACAGATTCCACTAGCATGCTGAGTAGGATAGTAAATCAGGATGCTCATAACTCCGTATGTCTGACCCAAGTGCCAAAGGCAGACGTGCTTTATAGCTAAATGAACAAAGCAAAGGATATCAAAGAGGTCTGTTCTCTCTTAGAAGCTAACTGCCCTGAGACTGCATGGCTCAGGCCTTAATAATGGACATCAAAAGTCATAAAACTGTAGAGCTGGAAGGAATCTTAACAGTTAATCTAGTTCAATGCCCTTATTTTACAGATGGGAAGACTGAGACCTGGAGATAGGAAGGGAATTTGCTCAAGGCCACACACGGAGTTAATAGCAGAGTTGGGACTGGAATGCAGGCCTTCTGACTCCTAGTTCCATTTTCCCTACCCTGTCCCATGCCAAGCCATGGGACTTTTCTCTGAGGGCTCTATTAACAATGACAGAAAGCCATTCCCATTCAATTTTCAGGAACCATGCCAAGTTAGTGTGGTGATCTTTATTGTACAGAGCCAGGTGGGTAGCTAACTAACTACCAGGTGCTGGGGCTTCCCCCAGCGGACATCACCTTTGGCTCTGTCACCTTATAGAAGCTTGTGTGGAAAAGAAAAGAACATTTAAAGAAGTCCGAACCAAGCTGTATCTTTGCCATCGCGCCTCCTTTTGCTGCACAACACTGTGCTTACTCCTGACTTTACTATGACAGTTGCCTGAGAACCTAAATTTCAGCAACAGCGGAAAACTGAGACGAAAAGGGTGTATGATACAGACAACTGACTTCTCTTTTGCAAAGTACTGAGAGCCTGTGCTGTGAGTGAATACCTTTGGATGGAAAACAGCTGCGGCGGTGAAGGCAGGCTCCGAAAGGCTGATGCGAAAAGACGAAAAGAACTGGATGCGGTTTCCCTCTGTAAGTGAATCCAACACTACAGAATTCAGAGATTGAGGGCACTTGCTTGAAATGAAGGTGCTCCAACTTAGTATAAGACTTCCAGACTCTAACTTTATCTATCATCTCTTTGAAAGTGTGCATGGATGTGTATCGCAGGGTGGAGAGGTAGGGAGAGATGTAGAATCATACCCAGGGGGACAAAAAAAGAAGGGACCATCTATATCCCCTGTTGGATGTGTACTATAGAAACATGTGCCACTCAGTCATTGTTAGTTCTGAATCTTCCTAAAGTGTACTGACATTTGGGTTGCGCACAGCTCCACGCCTTCATGTTCACCTCTTCTTCTAGAATTGCTTTGCTCTATTTTTGTATATATAAATATGTTATGATTATTAATAATGTTAATGATATTGCTGCAAATGGTGCCATATATAAGGTTTGGCTTCTTGGAAAATTTATAAACCCAAACCAATACCTGTAACCTCTTATGTTGCTTTCAGATCCTTTAATTTTTAAGTACTTTTTTTGTTTTTGTTAATCTTATACATTTGCCTGATTGAACTTTGAACTTATATACCCTTAAAAGCTGTGCCCAGTGCTCTGGGGCAAGCTGGATGGTGATGAGTAGCAACACACACTTCTCTCCGCTTCTGCCTGATATTTGCTTAGTGCTGAGATATATAAGGATTCTATGACACTAGTGCTTTGTTCCTGGAGCTAATGTTATTCTATGGATGTTTGCTTCTTAGTTTCAGGGCCCAAAGCAATGCAAGCAAGTCCCTTCTCCTTGATAGCTCCTTGATAACCCAATCCTGCAGTCCTTACTCAGGCAAATGGTGCACTGCCGGAGGGGCCCTGGGATCTGCCATATACCCAGATGAGCTCTTCTCAGTGTGTTTCTAAATGGCCTTACACTTGGTAGAAGAAACTGAAGGGTTACTCAAATGCAGTTGCAATCTGCAATCTGCTGCTGAGTCAGGGCTTTCACTTGTGTCCAAGTTGGCCTGATGTGGACTGCATCTGGTTTACGTATAGATGGGTCCTGTTGGGGTACGCGCACGGACGTGTGAGTGAGTGTGCATATGTATCCCTTCTGTGATTATATATATATATATATATATATATATATATATATATATATAACCTTTGTAAATATATATATTCACACATCTCTATATATTTTAATGTATTGCACATGTATATTTAAAATATATACGAAAGAACTCTAAATCCTGCAGAGAGGCTCTGTTTTCATTATTATTTTTCGACTTTGTGTCATGTACTGTATAAACAAGAATATTTAGAGGGTGTTTCCTGCTTAGCATTTTTTTGCAGTTAAGTCATCTGTTACCCCCTAACTCTACTGCTTTCTACATATTGGTCCCTTGATACATTTCATATGGCGTTAGCCAAGAGTTTTTCTTTGGTTCCAGCCCATCTTCCCTCATCACGATAGCTATAATAAATGTAGTGAACACTTACATAGTGCTTACTATGTGCTAAGCATGATCTTAAGCACAGTACCAAATATTAGCTAATTTAATGCTCACAATAATTCTATGATGTAGATACTATTACGATATCCATTTTACAGATGAGAAAACTGGAACACAGAGAGGCCTGTAAATGTTTGAGCTAAGATTTGAACCTATGCTGTCTGACTCCTGAGTCTATGCTCCGGAATCAGCTATAGAAGTCTGGAGCATAGGGCTGGCTTTAGCTCAGCGGTTCCTTCGACTGAAGAAGTCTGGAGCATGATGTCAACTTTGTTGGTATAACAAGCCTCCAATAGTATATAGTCATTTCCCTAACTCCAGTCCACCTCCAGCCTAAGAGCTGAAACAAATGTGCTCCTATGTTAAGAGTGAAACAATAGTCGTGGACATCATATCTTAGCTGTCTCACTTCCCGACATGGTGACATTACAAATTTTTTCACTACTCCCTTTGAAAATATGCTTGCAGTCAGTTGCCATTTCTCAGACAGCTTATGTTGTAGAGCTAGTAGAGAAGTATTTTCACTTGTTACAGAGAGGGTAAGAGTTTATTTGGCCTCTCTTTATAGATCCAGGAAACCTAATGGTATTTTTCTGCAGAAAGTAGAACTAAAACTATTTTTGAAACTTGAGATTGGTTGGAGCTGTTAACATTGAGTGCATTCTTCTCATTCAAATGTAGGCAATCCACTGATGACCATTGGACAGTAGAATACCCTACCTTTTCCCCTCACCTCTCTCACACTGACAATCTTTTACTCTTAGTAAAAACATCAACTTCAACATCAACATTTTATAGTTGGAGAAAAAGATGCACAGAAAGGGAAGTAACCTGTCCAGAGTCACGTAGTTCTGAGTTTGGGTGGAATTATGACTTAATTCCATATCCAGATGTCTTTTCTGAGTTTCTTCGAGTTTAAAGCAAAAGCTTTCATGCAATACCCAGGAAAGTAGGAGTAAGGAGAAAGAGTAGGGAAGAAGGGAAGGGAAGAGAGCACACTTAAAGCAGTGTATTATTATGTTGGCCACAATCTGTTTCATGATAAGCTAATCTTTCACGCTCACGTGACAGGCCTACTGTGTCTGAGGGAGGAAAGAAGAAGAATTTATCTCATATCTCCCATTCCATTAGTCAAATACCTTCCACGTGGGAATATCATTTCCCCTTTACTTCTGGGTAGCGCATGTGTGGGTGCCCAAGCATGTCATGTACCCTGGCTTCTCCTGCCTCAGCAGCAATGGGATAACATTGTGGCTCCACAACCAACAGCGAGGCAAGTGTGTGGATAGAGGAAGACACATGAACTTAAAGTGCACACTAGGCTGGTGCTTTCCCCTTACATCTTTAATCATGTTCATTTAAAATGACTTAGAGATAACCTACTGTATCTTTAAAGAACATAAGGCTTTATTGTGGTGCTCAGAATTGTACTAAATTTGCCTTCTTGAATCTATGTATTCTCTGATGTGCTTTGAAGGGCTTCGTTCTACATGGAAATTAAGTTTGAGTACAACTAGAGGAGTAACAAAGTCTCAAGGTAGCCTTCTCGGTGTAAAATGAAACTTTATTGTACTGAGCTCTTCAAAAAGCATGTCTAAGCCAATGCATGTACAGTACGGCAATTCGCA